TGGTCACCCTTACTGAAGGTCCCTAAACTTTTTCAACAGCAGGATGGGGTGGACAGTAAGGCATGGACAGAAGGTGGTGAGGGGTGCAGGAGCAGGAAGGAGGACCCCAGGCCGACCAGGCAGGGGACAGGCCTTCCTCACTTGTGGGACTTCTTGGTGTTGGCCCCATCAGGCCCCTCGCCACAGTCATAGGCCTGGATGGTGAAGGTGTGCTCCTTCTGGGCCTCGCAGTCCACTGGCTCCTTGGCCCGGATGAGTCCCTCTCCCGTTGCCTTGTCCAAGATCACAGCCTCAAAGGGCACCCCAGACCCATGGAGCCGGAAGCCGCAGATCTCACCTGGTGAGGGGAAAAGAAGGCAGGAAAGGCATGAGGCTCCTGCCCAGCTGTGGCTGCTGCTTCCCTCCCCTGGGGGCCTACCTCCCAGGTCCAGCTCCACCTCTCCACCTCTCCTCTTGTAACCTTCAAAGCATCAGTGCTCAGAAATACAATTCCAACCACTCCACCCCAGCTTCAGCAGCCTCTGGGAACCACCTGCCCTGATGTTTGGCAAAAGGAGAACATGTTCAACCCCTGCTTGCCCCGGGTCTCCCCCTACTTCCTCCTTGCTCCTGCTCCCTTGCCTCTGCCTCCCCACCCCCTTTGCCAGCCCCAGCCCCAATTACCTGCATAGCGCAGGGGGGCATCCTTGTCCAAGGCGAAGAGCGGCGGGTTCAGCAGGACAGTGTTGTCGTTCTCCATGACAATGCCCTGGTACTCCGCCTCGATCCAGGGCTTGTGCTTGTTGGCTGGCCCCGCCCCAGGGGAAGGAGAGGAAATGCCCGTGAGTGGGACCCCTACTCCCAAGACAACCCTTGTGGACCCAGACACCTCACTCCCTGCCACAGCACCTTTCAGGAACAAAGGGCTGAGGACAAAAAACCAACTATACACGAACCCAAAGGTCTGTGACCTTATCCTACTACATGACAGTTTCCATGGCAACTGCCCGCCTTTGGAGCAGAGGGACACTATTTTCCCTAGGAACAATGGTTAAGGATGGAGAATCTCCCTGTCCCCTCAGTATGTGGAATTAAACCCAGGCCCTTCTCTGTGAGCTACATTCCCAGACCTTTTTATTTTTTATCTTGAGACAAGTCTCACTAAATCATTCAGTTGCCCAGGTTGGGCTCAAACTTGGGATCCTCCTGCCTCATCCTGCCAGAACACTGGGTTTACAGGTGTGCACACCACATCCAGCTGGGGTGAAGAATCTTTAGGGGCTCCAGGTGCTGGGGAATGGAGACTGGGAACTCAGGGAGCAGTGGTAAGCCCCCAAAGGCCCCGGGAAGCAAAGGGATCAATGAAGGGCAGAGCAAAGATTTGGAAGTTCACTGAGATCCTGACCATTTCTCCACCCCCGACCCCATTTCACCTCCCACTTCTCCTACAGCAGATGAAAAATCGAAAGGAAAGAAGGAAGGGTATATAGGACAGAGGGAGGGGACAATAAGGGGCAGGAACGGAGCACAGGAATCAACACCAAATGACAACCCAGCAGAGCCCTCGTCCTAAGGGATTACTGAGCTGGCCTAGAAACACAGCCAATCCCTCCCTGTTCCCACTCCCACACCCAGGAGATCAGTCACAACCAGCACAGTGCTGTCTTCTACAAGGCTTCCGAATGCCACACTCCTGACCCTACCTATGACACAGACCCAAGACTTAACCCCAATTCCAGTCCACACCACCCCTCTTCCCTTCAACCACCAGCTAAGTCAGGATGGAGGTGTGACTCGTCAGACCCCATCTCCCCACCTCCTGCCACACTCAGCTAACTCAAGTCTGTGTCTGGTCCCCAAATGCCCACTGACTCCATGGGGCTGCGGAAAAGGGGTTCCTTGGGCTCCTTGGGTTCCCTTCCCTCTCTCCCTCCCCCCAACCCCCAACCTCCTCTGCTGGTGCTGTCTGATTCCATCTTGCCCACAAGCAGGCGAAGCCCATTCATGATAGCACATCAGCTGGACAAGGGTGGGAGAGGACACATTATCAGGGGGAAACTGAGTCACCAAACCTCATCCTCAGGATCTCACAGTGAGCAAGAAATCCTGATTACCATTCTCCTCCAACCACTCCCCAGCAGACTTCCTTACCATCTGCACCTCTGCCGCTGCCCCTCTCTCACTGACGACCACCAGAACCCCTTCCCTAATGGCTGGGAGAAAGGCACACTGGGAGAAAGGCACACGATGGTGCGCAGAGGCCACACAGGAAGTGGCAGGAGGCTCAGGAGCCAGGCTGAGATACTGGGGCCAGGAGCTCCTGCCAGGCGAGGAGAGAGCAGACTGCAGGGCTGGGGCAAGGCAGGGCCAGCGCTGGGGGCCTTCTCCACAGCCCGCCTTCCAGTTCCGCTGGGTTCCTGCTCCCTGCGCCCCCTCGGGCTCCCTGCACCCCTCTCTTGGCCTCTTGGCCCCGTTTCTCCCGTGCCCTTCCTTGTCACTCATCCAGGGCTGCCTGGCTCTCTCCTCCCTGTCTTCTCACCTTTCTCCCTGCTTTTCCTTCCATCCTTCCCTCTCTGCCTCCACCTTTACCCTTTCCCATCCTCTTCGTCCCCTCCCACGCTCATATCCCTCTCTCCCCTCAAAGTCCCCTCTCCCCACTCACGAGCACCCCACACACCCACTCCTGCCCTCCCCACCTTCCTCCCTCCCACTTGCCTGGCCCCTACCCCACTGTCCTGTAGTGCCTCCCTCCCTCCCTCTGCGGGTTTCTCCCAGCCGAATTTTATCTGCTGTCTGCCTGAAAGGGCGGCTTTGTAACCCACAGCCCAGCCGGTGCAGGCAGAAGGATAGGGGTGCAGAGGGCCACACCAAAACAGACGTGTTCCGAATTGCAGCTTTTCCCCAGGATGGGAGGGAGACGGAGCAGACGGGCCTACTGTGTGTGCGCACACCCCAGGGAAAGCAGGGACCCCGGAGCGGAGGGGTGCGCAGACCCGGGCCAAGTCCTTAGAGGCCCGAGACACCCACCAGCGCCGAGAAACTAGGAGGCAGGGCAGAGAGACCCCCGGGGGGGGGGAATGGGACCGCCTAGGAGGAGAGGACCAGCGAGCACATGGGTAGAGATAAGCCAGGGGCAGGACGAGGCCCTGGGAAGGAGCCAGCTGGGAAGGAAGCAGGTTTGGGAAAAGGATGGGAAGAGGGCGGTGGGGAGGAAGGGCCACCTGTCAGGTGCCGAAGCCTGGGCACCTCCGCCAGCCCCACCCCCACGCCGCTCCCCTGACCCCACGCACTCACCTTTGTTGCCGGAGCCAGGTGGGAGCAGTGAGGCCAGCAGGAGGGACAGCAGCAGGAGGGTCATGGTGCGTGGGGGGCAGGGCCGGACCTAGCAACCGCTGTCCCCTGGGAGACTCAAACCTGCTGATTCTCCCTCGGAGGGATGCAGGGGTTCCCCCAGGAGGAGAGGGCAGGGACAATGACAGAAAGAGCCCGCTGCCCGCACTAGTCCATAGGGCAGGCCTGTCGGACGCCGGTCTGGTGGCGGAGAGGGGACCTGCTCGGCTCCTTCTCGAGCCCTCTACGGCCAGCGTCCTCTCTCTCCCTCTCTCTCTCACTCCCACCCCATCCCCTCTACTGCAGGATGACGTCAGCACCGCCAGGCGAGGATTGATGGGGCCATTGGCCAATCAGGTGACTTGGGGCGCCAGGTGCTGCAGGGGGGGGAGGGAGCCAATGGGACTGGGGAGCAGGGGCGGGAGAACGTGTTAGGGTTTTTTCCCGGGACTGCGATTTGGGGGAGAGGAACTGCGGGGGCTGAGGAGGAAGCTGGGAAGCCATGCAGGGGGTGGGAGACCGAGGGACAATGGGAGAGGGAGATGCTGGAAGCCAGGGGGTGGGGGAGGGGGACGTCCGCGGAGACCTGAGTGTGGCCAGGAGGGGCAGCACTCACAACACCCACCCCCAACCCTGCACTAGCCTCTTTTCCCAGCCCATTCCATCAGCAAGTCCCTGCTGCGTGCCTTCTGGGAACTGCGAAGTGAAACCTTCAGTCTGAACGGGAGAAATCCTCGCGTTTCCGCTCCCAGCCCAGGCGGCAAAGGAAGCCCTGAGAGGGTCAGGAGGGGACCGGGAAGGGCACTGGCACGGGGGAAGAGTGACACAGCTGTGCCTCCCCCAGGCACACAAGCCTGTCAGGACAGGTCACACAGCTGGAATGTCAGGCTGACCTCCCTACCTTCCCCTTCCCAGATTTCCCACCTTAAACCATGATGGAGCAGCCCAACAGCTTCGGAAGCCAGCCACATGTGGGTTTGAGAGAGAAGTGGGAGGGCGGGGAAAGGGCGCGCAGTCATTTCGGTGTCCTTGCACACCCCTGTGGGAGCACACATGCTAAGCACGGGCTGTGTGTGCAAGGGTGACTCAGGAGCGGGAACCCCTGGGTCCCCAGGGGAAGAGAATAAGATTTTCCAGTCCAGCGAGGCAGGCCCCTCCCGCACCCCCTCCAGACCTGCAGCAGGTTTCAGACAGCCAGTCTCACCGCCTCCCTCAGCTGCCACCTAGGACCAAGCCTGGATTGCCATTGTGGGGACCCAGTGCAGCCAGCCACCTGAAGGAACCCCGGGGCTGTCTTCACGGTGGCTCCCAGTTAACTGGCCTCTCCACCTCCTCCCTCACACCTTTCAGTATCCCTGACTCCACCCCAGGATCTCAGGATGTTGCTGGAACTCATCCCTACCCTATACAGCCACCCCTCTCAGGGTTCCCAGCCCCCCCCCCAAAATGAGCTGGAGGCCAAAAGGGACCTTGAGAAAGGCATATATGTGAGATGATTCACAGCCCCAAATCCTCTCTGGGTTCCTTCCCCAGGAAAGGCAGAGGTGAGGCTTAGCTCTGCTAAGTCCCAAACCAGTCCCAGCGAGGAAGGGACTCTTATTGCAGCAGGGCCCTAGCCCTGTAAAAGCCCTGGCCAGTGATCTTTCCGTGTGTGTGTGTGTGTGTGTGTGTGTGTGTGTGTGTGTGTGTACACCATGGGCAGGCATCAGTCAGGCCTCATCTGCCAGACAGTATCCATTCCCTTCTCACACCGCCATCTCCTACACTCACCTGCAATCTTGGGCTCCTTCTTGGCTGGCCAATTATGCCTCCCAACCTCACCGGCTACTACCGCTTTGTCTCACAGAAGAACCTGGAAGACTACCTGCAGGCCCTAAGTAATGTCCCCCCTTCCTTCCACTTCTTCCCTCTCCCTTCCCACCTCAGGGTCCCACCAAGAAGGGGTTCTGGGGTTGGATGCTGGGGAAACACTTGGGTGGGATCCATTTCTGAGCAGAAGCGTTGCTAGGAGCCAACCAGTCCTTGGGGCCAGGCCCGCCTTAGGCACCACTCACAGCCCTGAGATACTGCTTTGGGAGCGCTGGCCCGCCCTAGCCAGGCTAAGACTCAGCCCCCACAGACATCAACGTGGCACTGCGGAAGATAGTGCTGCTGCTGAAGCCTGACAAGGAGATTGAGCACCGGGGTGACCACATGGTAGTGAGGACCCTCAGCACCTTTCGAAACTATGTTATGGAATTCGAAGTGGGAGTTGAGTTCGAGGAGGACCTGAGGATCGTGGATGGACGGAAATGCCAGGTACTTTGGGGATGGGGAGTGGCTCCAAACAATGTTGCTGAACCAAAGGGGCTCTCCCAGCTACAGCCAAGGGAAGTAACCATCACAGAAAACCATGGCACCCCCAGGGTACCAGTCTGGTGGGAACAGGCTCCTTGTTCTCCATCCTCCTCCCCCACTCCTTCCTACTTTTCTCTTGTCTTTAGCCAAAGAGGCAAAACAAGCAGACTACCTACCCCAGTCCAATCAGCAAACGTTTGCTGGCCCTAAGCCTATGACACTGCAAGTCACCACAGTCTCTGTTTCCATTACTGGACATTGAACTCAGGGCCTTTACACTGCTGTATCTCCAGCTCTTTTTTTATTTTTTACTTCAAGACAGTGTCCTGTTGAGTTGCTAAACTGCCCAAGCTGAGCCCAAACTTGTGATCCTCCTGCCTCAGCCTTACAGAGTGCTGGAATTACAGACCTGCACCTCCAGACCCAGCTTCTTTTACTTAGCATCTATAACCTTACTTTCCTGCATTTTCCCCTAGTTCTTACATGGCTTTTGTTGATCCCTGGAACAGACAATAGTTTTCTTATTAATTCCTTAAATTGTAGTTTTCACCCAGTGTTTTGTCCTTACCCTTCTCTTCCTCGTCTGTACGCCCTTCTTGGGCAAACTCATCTATGTACATGCTTCCTACTGCCATCTATAAATTGCCCTTGACATTTCTTCTCCAGCAGAGCCATCTCCTGAGCTCCAGGGTGATGTTTTTAGCTGTCTGCAAAATATTTCCATCTGTGTGCCCCAAGGTCAAACCTGAGTTCATTATATTCTTGCACAAACCACTTTTGTATTTACTGTCTCTATTAATGGCAATAACCAGCGGGACCAGAAGTCATAGTTAGTGTCTCTTTTTCCTTAGTTCTGTGCTCCCAGCACACACACACACACCCCACCTTAAGAAGTCTTTACACCACAATCCTTCTGCACTGTCTAATATAGTAGCTGTTAATTACAAATGGTTATTGAACATGTGACAGGTGCCTTATCCAGTGGAAAAGTACTACAAAGATAAAAATAGAACTGGATTTTTCTATTTCTATTTCTTTTCTTCTCTTTTTCTTTTCTTCTCTTTTCGGTACTGGGGATTAAACCCAGAACCTTTACACTGAGCTATGCCTTCAATCCTTTTTTGTTTTTCTATTTTGAGACAAAATCTCAGTAAGTTGCCCAGACTGGGTTCAAACTTGTGTTTCTCCTGCCTCAGCCTCCTGGAGTGCTAGGATTATTGGCATGAGCCACCATGCCTGGCCTTGGATTTTTAAACACTATCTAAAATAGAATATAAAACATCTCAGAAATGTATATTGATCACATACTGAAATTCTAGTTTCTTACTATTTTAGGTAAAAGGAAACATACTATTAAAATTGAGTTCATCAAAATTGAGTTTCTTTTTCCTTTTCTAATAAGCTCCCAGAAATGCTTTATATCTGTAACTTGCATTTTTGGTCTGTTTTATTCCTAGTGAAATGTCACTCTTCTAAATGTTTCTCATCTGTTCCTTCCTACTCCTTCTTACTACAGCACCTTTTTCACTGGGTTCCCAAAATTGGTCCTCAACCTTAACCCTCCACCACTCTGTATATTGTAGCCACAGGGTCCATCTGTGCCTCAGTTACTTTTTCTGTCGTTGCTGAGACAAAATACCCAATGCCCAAATTTAAGGAAAGATTTATTTAGCTTACAGTTCGTGGAAGTTTCAGTCTTTACTCAACTGGCTCCAAGGCAGAGTGGCACATGGCAGAGGGCAACAGCTCATGGCAGCGGAAAACAGCAAAAGCAACAAGAACAAAAAGAGAGGAGCCAAGAGAGCAAGGCTCTTTCCCTCCCTTTTATTGTATGCATACTACCTGCCCCAGGGGCAAGTGTAGCACTAACACCCATAATCCCAGCATTGGACCATGGATCAATCAAAAATCTAGAAGCGCGCCCCAGAACTGCATGAGGAGCTGGGAGGACACGCAGACACAAACCATAACAATCTGTGCTGTAAAAGTGGCCACGTCCTCCCTGACTTAAATGAACGCTTTCGGTGACAATCTGTTCCAGACAAAGCCCACACACGCAGCAGGGCACACAGGTCAGGGGCTTGGAAACCAGCTCCTCACTGTGTTCCCACATCCAGTCTAGGTTAGAGCCCTTCAGAACAATGTGACCTTCTTTCTTCTATGTTATTTCTTTCCTCACTAAAAGTTTCCAGTTATGTATCTCCAATCTAATTAACTCCCATTTTTCTTGAAGACTTGGCTCATCCCTCCCTCCTCATTGCCATCCCAACACTCTTGTCAGGTGTCCTAGCTTCCTAGGTAGTGATCCTCCATTGGTTAAGACTAAGCTCAGCAGGCTGTCCTTAGGAGGGCTTCGCTAGTGCTGGCTGGAACGCCCAAGCTAGAGAGGTTGGTCCTTCATTCCCAGCATCCTTGGAGCTGAAAGAGGCCAATCTTTCCAATCTCTCTTCTTCCTCAAAAGTCCCTCTGGATCAGCTGGAGGCATCAGAAGACGAAGCCTCCACTGTTTGTCATCCCCCTCCCCAACTTCACCCCTGCTCCTCCCCTGCTTTCCCCAAATGTCACCATGAACAGTGGTGGCTCCTTGGAGGTCATGGGGGGGGGAGTCCTGCTGAAGCAGAGCACCTGTCCCCAAATGGAGGCTGTGGAGAAGTCAGAGTGACTGGAGAAGCATTTGGGGTGCCCCATCTCCCAGTCTTCTTCTATCTCCTCTTTAGACCATAGTGACCTGGGAGGAAGAGCAGCTGGTGTGTGTGCAGAAAGGTGAGATCCCCAACCGGGGCTGGAGACACTGGATGGAGGGAGACATGCTACATCTGGTAAGTGGAGGGGAGACACAAACAGGGGTGCCTGAGAGGGGCCTCAGCTAGGATGCATCCCCTTGACAAACCATGTGAGTCTACCACTCTACCCCGGCCCTGCCCTCACCACCCTAGCAAGGAGCCAAGGAGGGAAACAAAAGCACTTGGAAGAGGAGGGAGAGGAGGAGAAAGTGGACAGGTAGGCCTTGATTGCAAATCAGATGATGCCCATAAGTAAAAATGGAGAGGATTTTCTGGACATGGTGGCTCCCACCTGTAACGCCAGCACTCAGGAGGCTGAGGCAGAAGGATCGCAGCAGGTCTGAGGCCATCCTGGGCCACACAGTGAATTCAAGGCCAGACCCTGTCTCAAAATGTTGGGGACCACAAATTATAAATTAAGTCTAGAGGACGTCCAAGGCTATCCTTGTCCTGCTTGTAAACCAGATTGGAACGCAGAAACTCTCCACTTTCTTCTGGTCACAGCTGAAGCCCTACAGCTAGTGACACTGTGGCACTCACAGGACAAGATAAGATTTACTGAGGATGACGAAGATCTCTAAAGCAATGGAACAGCAATAGTAAACATTTCACCTGGGGAAACTACAGTTTCCTTGCTGGTCCTTGGTTCATCCTTGCAAGAATGCTTTATTCTTTTACTAGTCTACCCTTACTGTTCCTAAAATCACTCACTGCCCCTCTCCATGCACTGGCTAATAAAATAGTAGCAAGCTAGAGAGTCTTTGTCATTGCCCATCCTGAGGCACTGAGTACCCAGCCCCCCTTTTCATGCTTTACTAAATTGTCTCTGTCTCTTATTTTATCCTTCGTTGTACCCCTCATACAGGCAGTTGGGGATCTTCGCCAAGCCTCTAATATAAAAAATAAATAATTTAATTTAATTTAATTTAAAAAACAAAATGGGGGGATGGAGACAGCCACTGCACATCTCCTGGCCCAGCACCCCGTTCCTTCTCTGGGCTGAAGAGTTCAGGAACAATTCCCTATACATCAAATGGTCTAGCTGCTATTTCCTAAAGGAGTAAACAGAGGGCAAAGGCTTTGAGAAAGGAGCTCCAGCTGGGAGAACCCTCTTCCTCTCTCCTTCTCCATCCCCAGGAGCTGACAGCAAGGGATGCCCTGTGCAAGCAGGTCTTCAAGAAGGTCAGATAGCCTGGGAGAAGCCAACCCTCCAGACCTCTCTTCGTGTGCCCCCTTCCAGCCCAGACTGTGCCTGGTCATCGTCTCTGTCTCACCGCCCCCCACTTGTTAATCAGTAACTTGCAGCCCCCAGGTCAAAGTCCTTCCTCTCTCACACTCCTCTGCCCAACAGTAGCCCCTGTCCCAGGTCAAAGTCTGGCCTGGGTGTCAGAGTCAGACATAGGATGTAGAACCTGGTCTCTTCTGTTCCCTTGGCTTATTTTCCTAAGCTCTGGGTACTTTGTGGGCACTTGAGAATCTATCCTTGTGGGCCTTTGGGAAAATTGTGACTGGGTTCAAGATTTAAATGGAAGCCACTTGGAAGAGTCTGCTTATTTCCTTGCCTTTTCCTAGAGAAAATCTCAGATACTTGACAGAGGCCCCACCCTGCCAACATCAGAGGGTGTCCTGCCTATTTGATCCCTCCTTCCAACAGGAAGGGGAAAGGAATAGAACTAGGCAAGACCTTTTCCCGAGAGCTTCCAAATGGTGGCCTGGCCTCCATGGCTGTTTTGGGAAACACAGCAGCAAGAAGGCCCTCAGAGACCCAAAAGAGAAGCAGCTGGAGGACGCAAAGCCCAAGGATAAAGAGATGAGGGATCTGCAGGCATGGGGAATGGCAGGAGAAGCCCAGCAGGGGTGGCCATACGGACCTCTACTCAAGGCCAGCAAAACTGGAGCCAGAGCAAGGGGAAGAGCTAAGGACAGCAAGACCACTCCCCTAGAGTGCCTAGGAAAACAGTGCAGAGGGTGGAGCAATTCAGGGTCAGGGCCAGCTCCAGCCTCAGCCTGCTCCCTCCCTTCCAGGACATTGGTCCGTTCAGAATAAAAGTCTGGTGGGCACGTGCACAGAGAGGAGTGATCACTGTGAAGGTGGGGACAGAGGCCAGTGGAAGGGCCGGAGAGATGGACGTTGGAAAGTCCCTGGCTTTCACAGATGAACACCCTGGCCGCTTCTTCCTGCAGTGGCAAGGCCTCTACACATATGAGCAGTCCCTGGGGTTCTGGCCAAGAAGAACTAGGCTTGCACTACTGACCCTACCACACACCCTGCAATGAACTTGGAAAAGGGCTCAGAATTGGACTGAATCACTTATTCCCTGCCCGGCCTCTCCAAAGATGTCCCCAGCAGCATGGGCCATAGGCATTCTTCTTGGCAAAGCCACCCAGCGGAAGCTGCCATCCTGCCCAGTCTCCTCCCAAGGCACAGGAACATGCTCCGTGTTCTTGCCCCATTGTCCAAACCACCAAGTCACCATGGTGTCCAAGCCCTCTCAGTACACATTCCAAGGCTCCCCCCACACGACTGTCCTCTTGGGGGTCCAGGACTCTTCACTGCAGTCTTGGCTGGGCCCTGACACAAGAGCTTGTGAGCCCCCAGCGTGGCTGCCAAAGCCAAGCTACAGCAGGCTCAGTCCCTCAAAACTCTCTGCGACATAGGCATCCAGACCACCTGCAGTGCATGCCTCCGTCCTTCACTCAACCACATCCCTGCAGGAGCCAGACTCCAACAAGAGGCCCGGAGACTCCCAGGGAGGCAAGAGTCCCCGGAAGAATTGAGAGGTTCTGAAGACTGCAGCCGGCAAAGGAAGCTGGAGCTGCCGTCTCCCCTGTGGGCAGCAGGGGACGCTGCACACATTAGAGGAAGCCAGAGTTCCAGTTCAAAACTCTCTCTCTCTTCCACCACCTTCTTGGATGTTCATTGCACCAGACACACACACATCCCAATTCCCAACCCACACAAGATCTTTTCCCTCCTTCAAATCAGGCTCTGTTCATCATCAGAAATGAGATGGTCACCACAGGAAGAAGCATGTCAGAAGGAAAGGAAAGAAAGGGAGTGAGTAGGTCCAACTCCCAGCCTTGCCCAGGGCTCACGGAACTTGGAGTTGACTTGGTTGACCAGAGTCGTAGACCCCAGGGCTATGATTAGGAATCGAAAATGCTTACTTCCGTGTGAGATAGAAGTGTGCTCTGCTAAGCCAGCCCCACTGTTCCTTTACCACACCAGAGATCAGGATGCCTGGAGTGCAAGAAAGCTGGCCTAACAGGCCAGAAAAGACAGCTACCAGGACAGAGCAGCTCTGTGGACAGGGGTGCTCCACCTCCACCCCCACCAGAGGCCATGGAGGTCCTGGAGGATGAGATGGAGCTGACCATCCACACTCACCCTTCCAGCAAGAGCAAAGGGGCCCTGTCTCCAGCACTTTCAGGCTCACCACCCAGCCGGAGGTGAGGCTTCTACCTCCCCCTACCCCACCCCAAGCCTCACTTCTACTTTGCTTTACTCTGGCCCCTAGGAGAAGGGGGAGCCCTGGGAGCCTCTGTTCTGTACCCAGGGTGCAGTGCCCAGAGGGTCACCCATGTAGCCAAGCCATCAGGTTCACAGGTACATCACTTCCCAGAGGTTCTGCATGAACCTAAAATGACACCAACATGGGTCAGTGAGCAGGCTTTGGTGTCAAACTGCCACCTGTTATTAGCAGTATGAGTGTATTCAGGTCACCACCTTTCAGCAGATACACATGGGCCAGACACCAGAGGCAATACCAAGAGCACTTCCTTCCTCCTGGGGATTTTGTGAAGACTTCATGCCCGTTCCTCAGCAGAGTACTGGGAATGGAGTAGGCACTGACGACTGTTGATTACTCCTGCTTGTATTATTTCCGTCCTCAGTACCTGATGCCGGAAATTCTCCTGACCAGAAGCAAACCCTTGTATTCTACAGTTTAGGACAAGGCATCAAGCGCCACTACCCCTGAGGTCATGCAGTGACATATTTGTACGTATGGAGTTAAATAAACCTTTGGACTGCTAAGGCTTAAATAAATGAGACAATGGAAATTATTTCAAGGTTCTAGGAGGGACTAACTCTCTTACAGCTTTGATATTCTCTGAGTTTAGACCAAGACTTCTCTGGGCAGCCCATATTTATTTGGTTTTCAAGTAAAGGAGGAGGATACTCAGGAAAACGCAGGAATCTCGCAGGACCTTGGGAGAATTTTCCCAAGTAGTAAATTATGTCAATCAGGAGAACTACCTTATCTTTAGGTTCGTATTTATTGTAGGAGCGTGGAGCCTGCAGCTGCAGTCTCCTTGTAGTTAATTGGGGTTGGAGCCAAGTGGCCTTATCTTATCCTTTGAGGAGTCACAGCTTCACAGGCCAATACAGGCCTCAGGGTGACCAGGGACTCACAGAGGTTTACCTAGTATGAGTCCCCTGCCCATCCCAGACAAGGGGCCTAAGCTTCAGACAACTCACAAGTAAACACAGAAAGCCAATTGGATAATATTAAATCCAGCTCAGAGCCACTTTGTAGTGGTCTCCAACATGTACCAAAGCGTAAGTGATCGAGAGCAGAGAAGTGAAGCTAAAACACAGTTTTGCCTTGGCTCCAGGCTCCAGTCATCTGGGAGTGATGGGGTTGGCGGGGACTCGCTGAACACACCCAACCTCCAGAGCCAGCCTCTGCCACTGTCCCACCTGCTGTGCCCAGAGGAGGACACGTGCTGCCCACGGAGCTCCTGTGCCAGCATCAGGGAGGTGCTTCTGCTCCTGTGACAGCCACTCTTGTCTTTCAGCCAGTCCAGGAAGCTTCAAGGCAGGAGAGTGGCTCACAGTGGGACAGAAGCCCAGCCCAGCCCAGCCACTGCAGCTGCAGTCATCGAGCTGCACTCCCACACCCCTGCGATGCCTGCCTTCACCCTTCTCCTGTCCCTATCTGCAGAGTCCCCTGTCTCCTTTGCATACCACAGGGCTCTAACCTTCCCTCTCCTTGGGCCTCAGTTTGGGCCCTACTCACCTGCAGATGAATTGGCAGGTGGAGGGTCCATCTGTATAAAGGCCACTGGGCAGCTTTCTTTCATACACTGTGTACTTCCTGTTGGACTCTCTCTGGCCATATCTCTTCTCTGGTGTGCAGGGATGTGTACGTATGGTAGTGTGGCCTTGGCATTCACTGTCCTATGTGCTTGCTGGGATCCAGCATCTTCTTTTTCTTTCTTCTGCACACAGAACAATACCTGTGGCTTTTTCACTGACCCAGGCAGGTGACACAATGCAGAGCTAAAAGGACCAATGGAGGAGTCACTGTCACTGTGTGGCCCTGGACAAGTAGCCTTGGGCGAGTGGCCCTGGTCAAGTCATTTCATTACTATGCACTTTTGCTTCCTCACTCGACTGACTGACCCTGTTCTAATCCTCTGAGACTGATCTACTCTCTTGCCTTCTATACTGCCCCTTCCCTTTGCTTCCTCCCTCTCTTCCTGGCTGTCGCAGAAGAGGCCTGCTTGCTCCATATCCTTGACCCAGCTGCAAGGAAACCATTGTCATCCTTAATGTAAATGAAGCTCATCCTACTGGCCCCCAGTGGAGACAGAACCCACATGAGAAGGGGCAGCGAGATGGCAAAGGCTTCTGCCCTTGAGACTGCCCCCCAGTCCCCATACTCACTCATTTTCCTCACCACTCCTTTCTTTCTGAGTAGTACAGATGGGATAAGGTAAACTATTTGACAAGTATTTATTAAAGTCTTGGAAAAAACAAAAGGGAATTAGAGCAGAAAAAAATAAACAACTTGATTATTACAAATACAACCTCCTCCAGGAACTTATTGTCCAAGGAAGGGATGATGCATGACAGAGAAAAATTGCCCTGCTGTCAGCAAGACAAGTGCATGCACAATGTGCTTAAAGTCCTTTACTAAAGGACTTTGCTACACGATGGAAGTCCACACAAAGCCCACTGACCGTCCAGCCTCAGAACTTGCTCCTGTGACAGTCTGCTGGTGTGGAGCCTTGCGTAATCCTCAGAGTGTACCTGTGGCTCAGTTGTCCTGAGATGAAAGTAGTATTCTGCCTCGGACTTTTCTTTCTTGCACATTGTTTTAGTTACTTCCTTATTGTCGGAACAAAATACCTAACACTCACACATTAATGAAAGAAAGGTTTATTTTAGCTCACAGTACATAGAGATTTCAACCTATAGTTGGCTGGATCCAAGCCAGGGTGGCATGGCAGAGGGTCATCACAGAGGAGAAACAGTCCATAGCAAGGCAGGCAGGAGGCAGCAAGCACTAAGCCTTCCTTTCCCTTTTTATTCCATCCAGGCTGCAAACCTATTTGTTGGTGCCACCCACCCCGAGGGTGGACCTCCCCATCATCTACACTTAGAACCATGCTAAACCAATCAGTGGACTAATCCAGTTATCACATACCTTTGATCTATATTCACACATCCATGAGCCAACCACTTCCCACAAGCCACACCTATGAGCAGATGAGGGTTGGGGGCGGAATTTAGATATAAGCCATAACATTCATTCTCTTTCTCTCTTTCTCTCTCTCTTCCTCTCTCTCTTCTTTTTTTTTTTTTTTTTTTTTTTTTTTTTTTTAGTGTACCCTTCACACTGAGCTACATTCTCAGATCCCTTTTTATTTTCATTTTGATACAAGGTGTCACTAAACTGATAAGTTGCCCACGCTGAGTTCCAGCTTGGAATCCTCCTGCCTCAGTCTCCCAAAGTGTCAGGATTACAGGCATGTGCCACCACACACAGCTTCATCTCTCCTTTTCAACAGTTTCTTAGGTCTATTTAATCCTTTGCTAGCCTCCAAAACCTGTCTCCTCTAGTGTCTGACTTCCTATAGACCATGCTTTGATCTGTACAGTCCTCTACCAGATGGGGATGGACAGAGGTACCCTTCAGATCTTAAAGTAGGGGACAGGGTCAGAGCCCCCAAGCGTACTTTGGATTCTAAATACCAGACCCAGCAAAAATAATATCCTGCTAATTAACCTTCTGCATTTATTATACTAAGATAATGTGTTATGTGTTATGGTTTGTGTCTAGAGGTCTCCCCAAAGCCTCATCTGGCCATAAGGCTTTTTCAGAGGTGGCTGAATCTAGAGTGTATGGTGCTGGGATTAAGAGTGTATGATTAGTAAATCAATCTGCTGGTTGGTTTGGCATAGTTCTGGCTAGAACCAAGGGTGTGAGTGCTACACCCACCCTTGGGCAGGGAGCCTGCATACAATGTAGGAACAGAAAGAGTCCCGCCTCCCCTTTCCCTGGCCACTTCTGCTGTCTTCTGCTGCCACGAACGGTCCCCCCCCCTTGCCTTGTGCCACCTGCCTTGGAGCCAGCTGATTACGGACTGAAAGCTGTGAGCCAGATAATCCTTTCCCCTTCAACTCTGGATGTCAGGTATTTGGTCTCAGCAACAGAAAAGTAACTAAGAAAATCTGCTTCTGTGACAACCATTCTCCAAGATGCTCCAGGGCTCCTCGCTTTGGAATTCCCACTCCAGGCCCCTGCCTTGCTTTCTATCTTGGGACACTCATGTGTCCTATAAAGAGGGCCATGTGGTTCTTCCACTAGCCACTGGCATGTACCATCCTGAGGGCAGACCACAGCCCTGGCCACACCTCCACTGAAACCCCAAGACAGACCCAAGCTAATATCACCCAATCCCTTCTGGGTTCCTGGTACTTGGAAGCTGTGTGAAATAACACATATATAACTGGGGGTGGTGGCACACACCTGTAATCCCAGCACTTGGGAGGCTGAGGCAAAGGATTGCTGTGAGTTCAAAGCCAACCCGGGCTACAAAGTGAGTTGAAGTCAGCCTGAGCTTCATAGTGAGACCCTGTCTCAGAAAGACAAAAAAAAAAAAGAAAAAAAGAACACATGTATGTTGTTTTTAATTGCTGCTAAGTATGGGGTAATTTGTTTTTTGGCTTTTTTTTTTTTTGGTACCTGGAATTGAACTTAGGACCTCATTTCCAGGCAGGCACTGTGCCACTGAGCTACATCCCCAGCCAATTTGTTATTAAGAAATAACTAATACGTTGTCCCAACCTTGAATTTCACTATAAGTGAATTTCACCACCACTGGTAGTCTGGTACTTAGAATCCAAAGTATGTTTGGGGGCTCTGTCCCTGTCCCCTACTTTATTTGTATTTTGTTCCAACAATAAGGAAGTAGGGGACAGGTGAATTTCACCACCATCCTAGCACCGTGGCTTCAATATTTGCCACACTAGGAAAAACAAATAGGGGAGAGATGTGACTTGGGGCAGTAAAGACATATTCAAATACAAAAACATGGTCCATGCTCTCCAAACTCCCACCCCAACCAGCAGCCCAGACTCCAGCTGAACACTGGCACCAGAACTCAGGTCTCAGCTTCACCCCTCTAGGGGTCTACGGAGAGCAAAGGTCAAAACTGCGTGAGAACTCATGGCTCCCCCAGGTCATTGCTAAGAGGAATCTCCAGCCCCTCAGGTGGTCCCTCATCCTGGACACAGGTGTGTGGCCTCATTTGGTGGCTTCAGTAGGACAAGTGCATCAGAGTGGAGCTCAGTAGGGCTCGCATCACCAGAGAGAGGGACAGACATCTCAGATGGGGCGAGGAGCTGGGAACAACAGCAGAACACAGAGCAGCAGGGTCCAAGGTGCCGATCAGTGAAGGAACCGACAAGCCAGTTACAGCCCCCCCAGAGGAGGGAGTCCTTGGCTACTCCCTATCCTTAGGGGCCAGTGAGGTGATGCTAGAGCCAAAGGACCCTCTGCTGAAAAGAGAGTGACTGAGATGGGGGGAGGCAGATGGAGAAGTCTTATGCCATCCGGGTATGCAGATCTGATGCCTGGAAGGAGGAGGGTTCTGAGTTGGCTGTTGAATGTCTCCCACCCATGTAGTAAAATCTCTGTCCCCAGCTTGACACCATGGGGAGGTGATGAAACCTTCCAGAGGTGAGTGGTGGGAAGAATTCAAGTCATAAGAGGCTCTTGAAGGAGACGGTGGGACACAAACTGTTTCCTCTT